AAAAAAAAGGAGCCATTGCACTCCAGCAACAAAAAAAAAAAAAAAAAAAAAAAAAAAAAAAATATAAAAAAAAAAAAAAAAAAAAAAAAAGAAAAAAACCCAAAAAAAGTGAAAAAAGATGTTTGGAATAATGTCAGAATCATTAGAATAAAAGCTTGTACCAAAGGTGACAACTTTAAAAGATAATTTTTTTTTTTTGGCTTTCTTTAAAAGCCTCCTTTCCTCTTGGTAACTGCTAATGTAATTCAGCAGATATTAACACTCGAGAGGGCATATAAAATTGGAACAAACTGCAGGAAAAGAGCGATGTTGCTGGGACTTTTCCCTGAGTCTTCCTCTTTCCAAAGCTAAGGGTGGACTCCCTCACTGAGCTGGGCAGGGAGGCCTTCCCTCTTTAGCTCTGACTCACCTGAGAAGACTCACATCCTGTCTGCCTGGACAAGCAGCTGGCTGCCCTTTCTACCCAGAAAGGCTTCTGAACTGACAAGTCCAACCTGCTTGTTCTCTTGAAGCTTCAAGCCTCAGTGAGAAATAGAGGGGAAAGTAGAAAGGCTGAAACGCCTTAGCTAACTCAGCACCTTTGCTGCTTTTCAGCATTTGGCAGATCTACGATGATGCCCCCTGCCATGCAATTTGCAACACCTCCGCTGTTCTATTGTCCAGTGAGTCCTCTGATTGCAGCTTCGGATGTTGTGGCAATGCCAAAGTACCTGTAGTAACTTTAAATGTTTACTCTCAGGTTTTGTATCTATCTCCTTAAGGATCAGTGACAGTTTCCAGGTAGTTTGTAGGCCACACTTTGAGATGCATTGTTCCAGTTTTTTTTCAGTGAACAGAAAGTTCTGGAAAGGTTAATAGGTAAGGTGTAAAAAACCTGGTCTCATGTTAGCGCATTGAAAGCCCTGAGTAGTACTGTAGCTAAAACCAAACCAACATTCTGTTTTATTTGTTTAATCCAGCATTTTCCCTTGTGTATAGAATCTCTTCTGTTGTTCAATACCTGCTAATATCTTGAGGAGTGGTGCTGTCCGGATGACAATCTAGGAGATGTTAGTGTGCTAGGTCTCCAAGCCTTCTTGCAGTTCTGAGTTTTAAACAGGCCAGTTCTTCCCATTGCTTGAGTTATTGATTCTATACTTCTCCTACTTATGACATGATCTCAAACCAAATGTGTCTGCTGCCCCCCTTTTTTCCTCTGAGATGACTGTTGTGAAAAGAGCAAAGAACAAGAGGTGGAGTTACAGTAAGTCAAGGACCCTGGACAGAAAGTTGCTGAGACTGAGGCCAGGGAAAACAAGAATTACTGGTGGAGATGACAAGTCAGGTCTTGCCATGAGCTTCTAAGTTTCCACTTGGTGTTATTCAGGTAGGCTACTTGCAAGATCAGCTTTCCTCCAAAAAGCTTACGTCTGTTTTCAAACATAAGCTCACTGTCTCAGTGGTACTGAGAGAGCAAAACGTTTGATGGTGTTTAAAAAGGTGGAGACTTTTTCCACTCTGTCTGGCACAGTATACCTCTTGAGGAGACTCCGTCTAACCTTCAGATTCTCCTCCACTCCTCTTCCTGTTCCGATTCAGTGAGTGC